TATACTAACTTTTCTTAAATCCGACTCCGAATCGATATTCAAAACTCAAAAGTTCACTTTAAGAAAGTTTAGACAAAAACTCCCAATTTCTCTTTTGAAATCATCAATCAAATGCCAAAAACGAAAATAGATTCATGAAATATATTCAAAACCAAGTAGATAACACTTACCCCAATCCATGTGGTAAAATCGCCTCCAAGATTGTCCAAATCTGAGCTCCATATCTCAAACAATGATAAAATGACTCAAAGTCCGAAAATAGAGTACTTATATGCACTGCCCAGTGGTACTCTGCGCGATCGTGGTAGTACCTTCGTGATGCACAAATATATGCTGCCGCAAATAACTCTACGCATTCGCGGCACATGCCTTGCGAATGCGATAATCAAAGCTGACAGAACTAGGCGAACACAGAAGTATCATCGTGAACGTGAAGAAGAGACCATCGACTGCCCAGCTCAGCCAAAACACTACGCGAACGTGTAGGAGAGGATGCGAACACGAAGAAGACCAATCCCCACAACCTATGCGAACGCGATCATCTAGTCGCGAATGCGATGAAGTAAATCTCCCAGCTCCTATAATACACTACGCGATCACGATCTCTTTTACGCGGTCGCGATGAAGAACTGAAACACCAGAAATCAGCAGAACACAGTAGTGCCAAAATGAGCCGAAACCCATCCGAAACTCACCCGAGCCCCTCGGGACCCCGTCCAAATATACCAACAAGTTCTAAAACATAACATGGACCTACTCGAGGCCTCAAATGGCACATAACAATAACGAAACGACGAATCACACCTCAAATCAAGCTTAATGAACTTTTGAACTTTCAACTTCCAAAACTCGTGTCGAACCATATCAAATCACTCCGAAATGACCTCAAAATTTTTACACAAGTTCCAAATGAAATAACGAAGCTATTTCAACCCCTGGAACCACAATCCGAACCCGATATCATCATAATCAACTCCCGGTCAAACTTAACATTTCAAACCTTCAAATTTCCAACTTTCGCCAAATAGTGCAGAAACCTTCTAGAAATATTCGAATGCAAACGTGAGCATACGCCCAAGTCCAAAATCACCATCCGGAACTAGTGGAACCATCAAATCTCCGATCCGGGGTCAAATACATAAAAGTCAAACTTGGTCAACTCTTTCAACTTAAAGCTTCCTAATTGAGAATCATTCATCCAAATCAATCCCGAAACACCTAAAAACCAAAACCGACGATTCACGCAGATCATAATACCTCATACGAAGCTACTCAAAACTTCAAATAGCTGAACGGAATGCAAATGCTCAAAACGACTGATCGGGTTGTTACAAATTTACATGTGATATATATATATATATATATTGTAATATATATATATATATATATATATATATATATATATTACAATATATATATATATATATATATATATTAAGTTTAAAAATAATAATTCATTAAAATTTTCCTTGACCTTAAAATTATGAAAATGGTTACAAGACAACAAGTAATTAAACTCAAAATCCTAATTCCCAAACCTATTATGCTATTACTACTGAAACTAAATTATTTCCAGCATATTCACTAGCAAAACACAAAGTATTCTAGCGATTATGAGTAGCAAACTACAATGTATTGAATATGTTTCCTTTCGTATGATTTAGATTTATTTTTTTGAATATTTAATCTGCTATTGATTTTATTCTTGAGTCCCAACTTGGTTAATATCTTTTCACTAGTGTGATTTATATTTTCTTTGTCTTTGCTTAATTTTTTTACGTTGCTGTAGAATAGTTGATTGATCTATACTCTAGTCATCTTTCATGTTTTCTTAATTCATTCAAACAGTAAAATTATCTAGAGAGTTTTGGTAAGTCTTATAAAAGTACGTATGTTGTTGCATTCTACTTCTACTACTGACTTTTATATGACATTTAAAAAAATACCAAATATTAAACGAACCGTACCGGTACCGAAAAGAAACGGATATGATTGGGACGGTTTCTAAAAGTCTCATTTTGGTTATACATAATAGAATAACCGAAAATCTTGTATGGTATAAATTTATAAAATAACCGGCCGAATGGAACCATTGACACCCCTAGTTAAATGTCAAAAGAGAAAGTGTCAACAGAAAAGTTGATAGTAGGCTGTATAGTTGATATTTACACCCTAATTGCTCATGCTTTGTTGTTGTTTTATAAGGTAAATTATCAATAAAATGCTTTAAATGGTGCTATTTGGTTTCGCAGGGAATATTATATGTGAGGAAGCAACATGAAGTGTTTGGAGGCAATAATGTGAAGAAAACACCCACTCAAGAAGTACCCAAACACAAAAGAGCAAAAGAAAATGATATCAATGTTGTTATAACAATTCACTCCCGGAGTCTAGACGAGAGTCATAACCGAGGGTTTAGAGGTTGGTTTAGAGATAACGATACCTCGGGTGCAATCTAAGTGAACTGTAATGAGAATCTAGCTAGCGTAGCTTGAGAGAGTGCGTCTAGTAAATTATCATAATTACTTGAGAAAGATTTATGGTAGCTGGAGAGTTCATGATTGACAGAGATAACTAAGTCACAGTTATAAGACATATACAACCAAGGAAATCAACAACGGGGGAAACCATTACCTTAGACCTTATTCCAATTGTTTACACATCAAGCATAGTTAATTTTCAGTTTTAGTTGTTAGAAATATCATCAACTGTTAATTGCAAAGTTTGGGGAAATTGATTCTGTGAATTTAGTAAGTCCGACGAACGTAATTGATAGGTTAATTCCCTGTGGTTCGACTCTGGGCAGAATTACTCAGACTATATTTGCTACGTCTGTGTGTGTCTTTTTATAAGGCATAGTTTGGTGTTATCAAAATCATACGTAATAAAAAAGAAATGAAACATTTTTTCTAAGTAGAAAATTAAGAGGGGTCGGAGTGATCTCATGATAGCAAATTAATTAACTACTTAATGATAATTAGCTTATGGATTGACTTAATAAATAACAATTAGCATCCTTTCCTGTCGGCTGTTTAATGTGTTGTTTTCACGTTCACAATCACATTTTAAGTTTTTGGAGGCTACTTAATATGTACTATACTACTCTTTTGAACAAAAAAACAATCACATTGATGACAAAATTGGACCAAATATTTGTATGAGGGTCCAAGAAAAGATAACGTATTTGTTCAAATCTTATCCACACACAGTCACAAGTGGATAAGTTAGGCAAAAGAAGAAATGGAAAACGAGGGAGTAATAACGACTTTTCTTAATTAGCAATCCATAAGTTTCCTTTAATAGTAAGAAAAGATTCTAGTCATGCTTCTAATCAATCCAACTAACCCTCCAAAAAGAAGGAACAGGAATTAAAAACGTTCACAGTATTTTTCTTTTGAGAATAAATAGTTTTCTTCAAATTGTCTTGGTAATTTCTAACAAGTTCTTTAGTTTATTTATCATTAAATTTGAATCAACTCCATGTTAGTTATTAAATTCTAAGAATATCATCTGGTAAAAAAAGTTCTTCTATAATACACTCTCACCCGTGCCTTTTCTCTGTACAAAAAGGACCCATAACAAAGTCAACATGTTGAAGTCTTGTACTACTTCCTCTCCAATTAATTGTGGTGGCTGAGCTGACCAAATATTAAATTAATTATAATTTGTCTCGTCTTAAACGGTTCATTTATTACTACATTTACGCATGATAATGCAGTAAGTGAACGACGTTAACCAAAAATTCAATATACAAGTGATATATGTTCCATTTACATGTCTCAATTCAGCATCACTGTATTGAGACTCCTCAGCAGAGACCCTTAAAAACTCCATTTCCTTACCTACTTACCCTACCACATTAAAAGAAATTGAAGAGAAAATAGTAAAAGGGTTTGTTTCAGCCTTTACATCTATGTAATTAATAATTAAAGTCATTCTTTTATTGGAAAAAATTCCTTAACAAAAAGAAAAGGAAACTAAAGATAGCAGAAGTGTTAGTTGGCTAGATATGTTTGAGAACAAACCTTGAATATATTTTATGTCAAGACATGTAAAACTATCTGAATCATTATTCGAAACAATGCAATACACAAATATTTTTTGTGCAAGTCAAATGGAATCAAATCATAAGCTTATTGTAGGTAACTTATAAGAAGGCAATTAATATATTACTCACTCCGGTCTACGTTAATTGATTTTTTGTCTCTTTTCATACATACTAAGGAATCTACCTTTTAGCATTAATTAACAATAAAATTGACCATATTAACCTTAATTTGTTCCTTGAAAATATAACAAATACTCCTAGGCTCTTTACTCCAAGGGCAACTTTGAAAAAAAGAAGTTAATTTAAAAAAGATTGGAGTGGGACGCGATTGGCGCCAGAAAGTTGGATATAAGGGTGATACACGACATACACATAACTAGAACTCTACTAGACAGGGGCGGAGCTAGAGCTTCGGACGCGGATTCGTCCGAGTCTAGTAGCTTTGTTCCAAACTCTGTATTTATCTTTAAAAGTTCATTGAATATATACAAATTATTAATTTAGAACCCAATGACTTAGAGGATATAGAATCCCGTACCCGTTAGCTTCAAATCCTGACGCCGTCTCTACTACTAGACATGACTCATGACTCTCTACAACGTATGTCAACCTAGTTCTAATACCAATTTGTCACGTCCCAAAGCTTGGGTAGGACAGGACTGACACCCAACCTGAACTGTCCATCGAATGAAAATAGTATGTTATCATGGTATCGGACCCTGAGTTTTATGTATTCCTTCTTTTTGTTACCAGGGTTAACCCCTAAGCCATAATGTCTCAAAACAAGGATAGCATAGAGAAACCCTCATGCATGTCATGAAGACTATGACTGTCTTAGGACCTCCCATTGTTGCATCATTTATGAGAAATCTGGTATCAAGTTTATGTCCAAGGACCTTCTATTATCATTTAGGGGAAATTGGGTTCCGAGTCATGATGCCTCCAGGAGACATTGGAATTGACATTTTCTTGTTTCTGTCACTCAGCAAACAGTGAGAGTCCTCTCTTCTTAGCAGAAGCATCATATACAGGCACTAAAACAACATCAAAGAAAGAAAGATGAATAATGCTTTGTCCTCTCTCTTTATATTGTTGTGCTAAGCTCAATATTTTCATCCGGATCAGAAAGTCAGCTTGCTCCAACGGTTAACACAGTTGGAATTTCGTTCATGCTGCTTCTATCTCTGTCAAAAACAAAACAAAAAAAGAGAATTTTACAACATAAAGTTCCTATACTAAACATTCCTAAACTGGTGCCTCTCTTCAGAAACCCACTCTTTAATTTGATAATAACATGCACTCTATAACATGTTTGAAGCATGAACCAATGGGAAGAGAATTATTTCTAATGAGTAGAAAATTTTGATCTTTCTCCTATCAATTGGGCAAATGTCTGGTGAAAAGGTCTTAGCAACTAATAAGGGATCGCTGGAGAAGGTATGCCTTTGGGATTTTACTCTTCCTCAAGATGGTCAAAGAGTTCTCTCCAATGAGACGCGGCTTCTTCTGGTGTTCGAAATGACCACAGGTGAGGCTTTGCTTTCTCACGTGTTTCTAAAATTTCCTGCTTCACAAGATCTAATGGTGAGTATGACAAACAAAACCAACAAAATAGTACAGGAAGCAGTAGTTACTTTACGAGGATACGTAGGAAAAGCAAGCAGAGGTACAACTAAATTACCACATGACAAATTTTGTATCCACTAATTTAGAAAAAAGCTTCAGCATCAACTAATCACATCTTCAGAAAAGCATCCAACCAAAAAGATAACTTTTGTAGCTCAACGACCCCATTTAGAAGCAAATGCCATAGCATAACTGCCTCGATCAAGAATGTGGTTGGCGAATGAAATACCGATTCATTTATCAAACAGGTTCACAACTGTGGATGGGTTTGATTGTTATCACACAGATTTGCGGCACAATGAGCGTAAATTGTTACTACTTAGATTTGAACCACACTAAGTGTCCTGCACTATGCAGGATAAATGTTTAGCATGGATATCAAAAGCCTACTACCTAGGAGCTGTAGTTAGATGCTTTTTTGTAGTATTTAACATATCAAAGACCTATATTTCTTTGACGACTTTGAAGACCTAGATCGATTTGGTTTTTGCCGAAACACAAGCATGGCACTTGAGTAACTGATTTCCAGTATGGTTCTCAAAAACTAATCAGAATTTTTTTAATTCTTTATAACTGAGCCAAATGTCATGCAAGTCAAATTTCCTGATATCATGTAAACACCGACTGAAAAATTTTAAACCGAAATGAGAGATGGAATAAGGTTTAGGGAAAAGATGAGCTAAAACTTCAGCATCGGGGGAATAAAGCGGAGGTGACGAGTCCACTAAAGGTAATTTATTATTGTATCTCGTTCAGTCATTTGCTAACATAATTGAGCTTCTAAGCCAGTCAACCAATTGCAATCCAACTTGCAAATAGAAGCAGATTTTCTGTACTGTAAATTGCACTTAAGATTCTCAAGAGAGTGGAAAGTTCTAGGATAACATGCTACAATAGCAAGTACTTTGTTTAATCCCAAGGCAAGCACATAAAAAGTTGAACATGAGTATACCAAAAAGGCAGTTTAGTATAGCAGCAACTGCATGCTGAAGCAAAGAATGTAAAACCAGAGTCGTGAAGCAAACTTCAGATGAGAAAGAAAGAACTATAAGAAAAAGGGTGAACAAGTGAGGCATCACCTCTGGTTTGGCAAAACTAAATTAACCTTCCCATAGTTTGTGAAACATCTAAGACTTACCCTCTAGTTTAATGTCATTACAAAGATCTCCTTTACTGCCAATCTCCAGAATTCAAACAATTAAATGCAAATATAAGCATATTAGAATTGTTTTCAACCTTACCCTCCGACATGAGTTTATTTCCCTAAAACAACAATAAAGTCAAAAAGGAAAGATGCACATTAGAAATCCTTGTATCCTAGACCTTCCCCATTTGAGAAGTTTCTCCTTAGTATACCTCCTCTCCAGACATATGATTTTTCTAATCAAAGAGCTGATAATTTGGAGAAGCCTAAGATTCAACAGCCAAAGCATCTAAACAAAGGAAGTTATATTGCTCATCCTATACTTACCTTTTTCTCATCTCTATTTAATGCCTCCTGTTTTTATACTGGTTCAAAATCTCACATCATATATAACGAATTTTTTATGCTGATTTTATTTTTCAATCTACACTATTTCTCGACGGAAAAAAAAGGAGACAAAGAGAGAAACAAACAAGTATGAAAATGTTTGTTACGAGTCCAATGCACAAAGTTTGAGTGAAAAGTTTAGAGAATTGAATCTTGTAGGTTAAATGTCTGCAGCATCACCACGTACATTTGTAGTGACAACTCATGAAGAAGAAAGTTTTCACCAGCTTACCCTATATGAATTCTCCACATGTTAGAAATTAGAATGCTCATCAATTTACAGCTTCTATGAATTTTCCCAAGTCAAAACGGAAGAGAGGAGAGGAGGCAGGGAGGAATTACTGATCTTGGACTAAGTTAGCTTCAGTCAAATCCGCAAAGGGGAGGTAATCTTCTAGGCAACAGATGTTATATGTGCAGAAAGAAGATGGAAGACACAGACCATCTATTTTGCGTTGCCAGATTGCTAGTCAATTGTGAAACCTATTTCTAAACCTTTGAAATTGACAATGCCAAAGACAGCCAATAGTATCTAGACAGGTAGGAACAGAGTGTCAGGGAGCAAATGAAACAAGGAAAGTTGAAGCATACAGGACAGTATTTACGCAAGTAATTTTTTGGGTTGTTTGGAAGAAGAGAACCAAGCAGTCCTTTGAACATAAAGCAGTTTCAAATACATATGCTTGTATCTTTTGGTTGTTTTGCTGTACAATGAACAATGTTCATAAAAGAATCTTCATTTGACTTTATCAATTCCCAACCTCAATAAGGAATTGAGCTTCCTCACTGTATATAGCTAGCACACACTTGTTGCTGTGATATAAAGAACAGTACTCCCTATTTTCCGCTTTATATAATACTATTACTATTAGGGGAATTAAACAGCCTTTTTTTTACTACAACTTTTTGATACATCACTCAAATACTTTTTAAATATAAAAGTTGCAATTTAGAGTACTTTTTAACTAGTTTCTAATTATCTAAATTTTATTTTAAAACTATAGAAATCGATGTTTGAATTGAGACCTAAAATTAAAAGGTTTGACCCTTGTCTCCGAACCCTTTCATTCTTTTTGAAAATGTAATTCAGGAGAAACATCCCAGCAGCCCGCCAGTCCTCCCTCCCCTGACCCCTCTCCCGGCCTCCCTCTCGATCTCGATGTTTATACTATGTACATACCTGGCACCAACTTAGTGCTGTTAAATAAATAAAATGATATTTACTTATCAAGAAAAAGGTTCAAAATGTCATTCAAGAAATGACAGGTAACTCCAGAAGCAAAAGCTTGAAATCAAAAAATATAGTCCCATAATTGATAGCTGTCAACGCCAGGGGTTATCTAATTGGTCAAGGATCAGAGTAAAACCTGTACTTCCAAAGATCAAATCATGCTATCATCTCTTCTCCTATTTTATCCCTCTTTAGCAAGGAGAAACGGACATCTATGGTGGTTAGTGAAGAAACAGCTTCTCATATGCTTGCTATCATACAGTAAGTATTACTGGACGATTCAAAACTCACCAACTATACACGCCACATGCCCTTTCAAAAAGGGTGACAGGCATAACTCGAGAAAAACATCAATGTGCCTTCTCCACATATTCGTTTCTTTCCATATCAATTTTATTTTGGTTTTTGGTTTTGTCGTTTTGAGTTCTATCAGAAATTCAGAATGTCAAGCAACAAGCAGATATTGCTTATTAGATCACTTTGATTGATGCCACAATAGAAAACATAGTTCAGGCGAGTGTTGTGCTACATTGTAGAAAACCTATGACGAATAAAATATTGAATAAAAATCAGCATAATCAGGAGAGGAACCTTGCAACCTTGTAGCATATCCTGTATGAATCTAGACTTCTAGACATCTAAGATTGGTACCACCCATCTCAAAGATAACATTAATAACTATTCGGGTTATATTTCAGTTTGTAAACCTTATCTGATGATCTCTATGCTAGCTATATATCAATTCGGATACATCATGCTCTGAGTCAAGCCTCCTTACTGGTCTAAAAGAATAGCTCAACAAGACGGTGGCGGAAAAGGGAAATAAAGTATTCAATACACAAGCAGCAGATTAAAGTTGAAACAAGTTAACTGAAAAATAAAAACGGACAAACTGGGGAGAAGCCACCCAAAATTTGGATTTTAGTTCAGCTGGAGAAAATCATGGTACACCAAGAAAAAAACTGCTCCATAGCCACCAACCATAGCTTACGAGTAAGTGAACAATGATGTCCAAAATAACTCCAAATCTATGACTTTAAGTAATTTTACAAGCAACACAAGGTTTATTATTAACTTGTAAAATTTACTCTATTAGCATATTTGAATAAGTCAGAAGAAAAAAAGAACATCGTGAAATAATCCAGACTATGATGCAAGAGAGCACTGTACCTCCACTTCAGAAGACCTTTTGGTTTTTAAAGTCAGACAATCAAAAAGAGCACTCCACTTCTGACTACAATTATCAAGGACACCAACTCTATAGTACTGCTGCATCTGATGGACTGGAGCTGCCATAAAATAATTTTACATCAGCCTAAGAAATTCTCAATGAAGAAATTGCACGTAAGAACAGACAAACAGATCTCGTATCAATCCCAGTGATATCAACTTTGGTTTCATTCCTTTTGGGCTATTGATAAATTCATCTAGATAGCAACAGCAACATAACAGAAGGTATGGTGGTGAACCTTCTACTCGGAATCTAGAGTTTAGAAGATTCCAGGGATTTCCTTCCTTAATAAGGATGGAAGAAGAACAAAGAGAAAAGGGGTGGCCAGGGGTGAAAACTGAAAATAGTAGCAAACAATATCATCAGTGTCATCAGAAATCACAGAGCAAGACTCGCATCACTTCAGATAAAGCGAGTTACCAGTAGTCTATGATACTGTCGTTCAATAGTTCACCTCAGTTGCAGCGGATTGGCTAATGCTACTAAAGGCAAGGATGAGCGCATGACTTGTGTTTGACTTGTGTTTTGAAGCCCCGCTCAGCTAAACAGCAGTCTATATCCTTGAAGAACTTGAGCTTGCAAAGCTCTCTTCTGACAACCCCAAGAGCAGTCTCTATTTTACTAGTATCGTGCTACTAACTAATTTATATAAACAATTCACCAGCCTCCTCGGTCTACCATTTGTTTGATCATTCACTAAATACTTATTTAAGGCATTCACGTGTTACAAACAGTAATCCTTTTAACGGAAAAGATAATTGAATGAAATTCTGTAATTGTTTGGTCATCTATCCAACCTCTTACTCCTTTCGTCATCTAAAATAACAAAATGGTGAGATCCTATTTGTGGATATTGGCATCTCGAAACAATGTTAACGACTAATTGAATCCCGACATGAAAATTGATACCAAAGGGATAAAACTATTGTGATACCTAACAATTAGGTTCTCCAAACTTCCCCAATTTGGTTACTATTATTAAGTCATGATTAAGAGGATTTTGATACCTTTAACAGAAACCCCTGCACCCTAAGCTTATTTTAGCTATGAGATAAGAAATGAATGATTAGATTAAGAATAAAAGCAATTAAATACTGTGAAAATATATAAATCAAGCAAAAGATTGATGCAAACAAAGATACAACTCAAGCCACACAAATAAAGATTAGAGCTTGGGAACAAATGAATAAATCTAAGGGGAAAGGCAACATACAGTAGCAGAACCAGAGGGCATCAAAGTAAGGGGCGCATGATAGTCGTCGTGGTTGCTTTTCTGAACTCATCTGAAAGGTTTGCTGAATTCGCCGGTAGAAACGTTGATGGCTGTGTTAAGAGAAGAAAAGAAAAATATGGTAAACTCGGAAGCCCCTAATCTATTTAAGAAGTCGTATTTGCCTCACTATGTATTTTGATTTTCACTTTTCACCCTCCATAAACCATTTTAGAAGGGGGAATTATTCAAATGTGGTAAGAGCTTTATTCAGAAACATTAACACAAAGTGATTAGTCGTTGGCAAAAAGTATCCATAAAATAAGAAAATATAATATAATATATATCTATCAATTTATATGTATATAAATGAAATCATTGAACACTGTAACACGCTTCACTATTGTAACAAGTAGACCGAATGGAAGTTCTGGCTAATTCACCCTAGAAGTTACTGAATTGAAAATCCAAAAGCTCTCTTTTTCTCACACCTCCTATGTTCCTTTTTCCAACCAGAAAAAGAAAAAGAATCAAGACAGCTCAGTTTTTCCTTTTCTATGTGACTACGCCATATACACTAAATAGAAAATCACTCCAATAAAAACTACAAATTACAGAAATCATAAAAGACGTATTCATTCAGAGGATAATAAGGGAAACAAAATCAAACCAAAGAAGGACCCAAATAATTACCAAATAAGTATAAAGAGCTTCCATTAACCGGTGATGCCGGAAGTAGCAGCAAAATCGGTAAACTTGAGATCAAAAGAGGAGAAAGAAAGTGGATGAACTGTTGGACCTCAAGTTAGTTTGAGCCAGCCTAGTAATAGAGACCGACCCAATCAGCCTAGGTGATGGTTTTCTTATTTATGACCCGACCCAGCTGTAAATATATATTTTGGATATATAGTTAGGAACTTTACTTCACACGTGTGTATTTTTATTTTCATTACACCAATAAAATTGATCAGATAATTTTCTCTCTACTGTTCTTCATATCACATCTGAGAGTTAGGGTTTGCTTCTACAAAATTCCACAAATTGATCTCGTTTCCAGATGTTAACATGGTATCAGAGCTCAGAACTTGATAGATTACAACACTACGGTTCGTCCGATAGTACCCTTGGGGTCAGATTCTCCACGTTCTGTTTTTCCGGTGAAGATTGCATCAGAGCTCCAATTTTTGTTTTTCACGGTGAATTTAGCTTGGATCTCTTCTTTTTCTGTGGTGCTGAGGAATTCGGTACTATTATTTCCTCTCTACTTGGTTGATTGCGATTAATTGTTTCTAGCTTTCAAAATTTTCTAAAACCCTAATTTTTCAACAATTACGATGAGTACTACTAGCGATATTTCGAATATAAGTGCATCATCTACATCATTTGAGTCCACTGCTTCTACTGTGGAACCTTCGCACCCACTATATTTGTATCCGTCCGATTCTCCTGGAACTGTTATTGTTGCTACTACATTCAATGGTTTGGGTTATAGGAGTTGGCGTAGAGGAATGTTGATAGGCCTCTCATGTAAGAACAAGCTAGGATTGATTAATGGAATGATTCCTAAACCTAGTGCAAATTCTCCTTTGCATGAGCCTTGGTGTAGATGTAATGACATGGTCACTGCTTGAATTCTGAATAGTTTGGACATGGAAATTAGAGGGAGCGTTATGTACACAGAATCAGTTGAAAATTTATGAAAGGAAATAGAGCAGTGTTATGGAAAGCCAAATGGGAGTAACATGTTTCAGATACGCAAGGAAATCTCTTCCATCTCTCAAGGATCTTCCAACATAGCATCTTATTTTAATAGGATTAAGAAACTCTGGGATGAGCCAGCATTCTCTATATCCTATCCTCCTTGTGTATGTGGGTGCAAAGAAGCCTTTCAGAAGATAGAAGAAGACCAAAAAGTCTACCAATTTCTAATGGGTTTAAATGAGAACTACTCTAATGTGAGAAGAAATATTTTGATGATGAAGCCTCTTCCAGATATAGATACTGTATATGCAATTCTGATTGAATATGAGAGCAGGCAGATGCTAAAATTTCAATTCCCTCTTTCAATTCAGAGTCTGCATCTTTTAGTACTGCAGTTCAGAAACAAATTTCTACTGGAGCTCAAAAACCATACAATCAGCGAGTCAATTTTGATCCTTCTAGGAAATTTAATTCTAGCTTGATTTGCAAGTATTGTAAAAAGCCTGGTCATTCCATTGAGAAGTGCTATAAACTACATGGTTACCCACCTGGTTCTGGAATCAGACTAAAGAGAAATGTTGCATGTGCTCAAGTTTGTGACTCTCAAGTGGCAGGGCATTCTAAGAATTCTGGAACAGATGGTTCTAAAGTGCTTCAGACTGATGTTGGAGGCCATATGTTGACTAAGGAACAATACGACCAACTCATTTCTCTTATCCAACAATCTAAGATCTCCTCTGCTACTCAAGACTTTGCTACAGGGTCTGTTAATTTTGCAAGTATGATAAACTCTACTACTACTAGTTTTGATGGTATTCTTGCTTGCAATGTCTCTAATATAGAGAGTAGTGTTTGGATTATAGACTCTGGTGCTACTAATCATATGACACCTTATAAATCAATTCTTAGAGATATCAAACCTCTCACTTTCCTTATCTTGTAACTCTTCCCAATGGTTACAAGGTTAAAGTAACTTGTACTGGAACACTTTCTTTATCCTCTGATATTTCTCTTCCTAATGTACTTTTTGTTCCTTCCTTTCATGATAATCTGATTTCTTTGTCTGAATTGCTATTACACCTAACTAGTTATGCATTGTTCACACCTACTTCTTGTATCTTGTTGCAGGGCCCTTTTCTGAAGAAGCCACTGGTTCACCTACTTCTTGTATCTTGTTGTAGGGCCCTTTTCTGAAGAAGCCACTGGTTCTTGGTAGACTTCAGAAAGGGTTAATCCTTCTACATTCAGATACTCTTTCTCCCATTGATTCATGTGATTCTGTATTTGTAAATACTATAATTGCCATCCTTGATGATTCTAATAAGAGCGGTTCTGATTTCAATTTTGAGTCTATTTCATTACCTGATAATACTGTTCATACTTTACCTTTTACATTGTCTTTTGATCATATTTGGCATTTGGGGTTGGGTCATGTACCTTTTTCTAAAATGAAAAATATCCCTTTTCTATCTGATAAACTACCTAAGAAACAGTCCTTCTTGTGCGCTATTTGTCCCATGGCTAGGCAACAAAGACTACCATTTCCTGAAAGCACCATTCACTATTCCATTCCATTTCAGCTAGTTCATGTTGATCTTTGGGGACCCTATCACACTCAAACCTATAAAGGATATAAATATTTCATTACCTTTGTGGATGATTTTACCAGGGCAACATGGACTCATTTGTTATCATCTAAAGCAAATGCTCTTACTATACTTAAATCTTTTGTCCTTATGATTCAAACCCAATTCGGTTGTCCTGTTAAAGTCATTAGGTTTGACAATGCTTTTGAATTGGGTTCCAGTTCTGAGGGAATTTCTTTCTTTTCTACTCAGGGGATTCTCCACCAAACTTCCTATCCACATACACCTCAGCAAAATGGTGTTGTAGAAAGAAAACATAAACATTTATTAGAAACTGCAAGGGCTCTTCTTTTCCAATCTAAATTGCCTGTCAAGTATTGGGGTGAATGTGTTTTGACTGCTACATATCTAATAAACAGATTTCCTTCCCCATTGCTACAAAATAAGTCACCTTTTCAGCTATTGTATGGTACTTCTCCTTCTTTCACTCATCTCAGAACATTTGGATGCTTAGCTTTTGCTGCTATGCCAAAACCTTATAGAGACAAATTTAAATCCAGAACCATCTCTTCTATTTTTCTTGGTTATAGTCCTGGAAAGAAAGCCTACAAACTACTGAATCTTTCCTCCTTAGTCATCTTTCATTCTAGAGATGTAGTTTTTCATGAGCATATCTTTCCATTCTCCATTTCATCTTCATCTTCTTCTTCTCACTTATTTCCCCCTTCTTTCTCTGCTTCCCCAGTTTCTCCTCCTCATGTAGTTCCTCCTGATCCTACTCCCTCTTCAGCCTCTTTTCCTTCTTCATCTTCTTCTAATTCTACTCCTCCTCTAAGGAGGTCACAGAGACCACATCAAACTCCTGCTTTTTTGAAGGATTATGTATGCACCAGTGTTTCTAAGTCTGAACCTTCTTCTTTATCTGATGAGGCTTGTTTGCTAGAACCTCAGTTCTATCATCAAGCTGTAGGCCCCCCTGCTTGGCAGGATGCCATATTGAAAGAGTTTCAAGCCCTAGAAGCTAATAACACTTGGGAGATAGTGCCTCTTTCTCCTGGGAAGAAAGTCATCCCTTGTAAGTGGGTATATAAGATTAAACAGAAGGCTGATGGGTCAGTTGAGAGGTACAAGGCTCGATTAGTCATTAGAGGGGACAATCAACAGGAGGGTAGTGATTTTACTGAAATTTTTTCCCCCTGTGGTCAAATTAACAACAATCAGATGTCTGTTATCTGTAGCTATTAAAAGAAATTGGATTGTTTTTCAGTTAGATGTAAATAATGCCTTTTTACATGGGGACTTAGATGAAGAGGTGTTCATGAAGATTCCTCAAGGTATTTCTGTCTAATATGTTTCCTCTTCCTCCACTGCTCTAGCTTGCAGGTTGAACAAGTCCCTTTATGGACTTAGGCAAGCATCTCGACAATGGTATGCCAAGTTATCTTCAGCATTGCAATCTAGAGGTTTTCATGCTTGCCTGAATGATTACTCTTTATTGACTAAGTTGGTTGATGGTTCTTTAACTGTTGTTTTTGTGTATGTTGATGATATTCTTGTTGCTGGAGATAATCTATCTGAGATCACCACCCTTAAGCAATTTCTGGATGCTGAATTCAAGGTCAAAGATCTTGGTGAGCTTCATTATTTTCTTGGACTAGAGATCACTAGGCAGCCTACTGGTTTCCTGGTTTGTCAACACAAGTTTATCATGGATCTCCTATCTGAGTTCCATTGTCCTGAAAGCACCATTCACTCTTCCACTCCATTTCAGCTAGTTCATGTTGATCTTCGGGGACCCTATTACACTCAAACCTATAATGGATATAAAAATTTCATTACCTTTGTGGATGATTTTACCAGGGCAACATGGACTCATTTGTTATCATCTAAGCAAATGCTCTTACTATACTT